CTTCCTTCCTTCTTTTTGCTTTGATTATATCTTATTGTAAGTTTTTAGTTAATATTGCTTTATTTTATGCTAAACCTTGGGGACCACATAACCAAAGGGTGGGGTAGAATTATTTTTAAAGTGTTCAAGCATTTTCTATATATCATCTCAGTAATATAACCTAAATAATAATTCCTGTAAGATAGGCCAGTACAATTCTAGGATTCATTCACACAAATTATTTATCTGCTATTACAGGACAACTAGGCATCAAATTGGCATACATCATGAAGGACCATGCTCCAAAAAGGTATGTCCAGTTCTTCATATTGTGTAAATCTCCACTGAATCTGCCTAGGATAAGAAAATTCTTATTTTGCCTGGCAGAATACCAGCTTTGATCACAGGTTTAAAAATTTACTCATATACCATGAGTTTCTAAATTTTTAGTAGTATTGATCTGAGACAGTCAGTTTGGTGTAGTGGTTAAGGCACCAGGCTAGAAACCAGGAGACTGGGAGTTCTAGTCCTGCCTTAGGCACCAAGCCAGCTGTGGGTGACCTTGGGCCAGTCACCTTCTTGCAGCCCTAGGAAGTAGGCAATGGCAAACCACTTCTGAAATCTTGCCAAGAAAACTGCAGAGACTAGTCCAGGCAGTTATGAAAAATCAAGATTGACTCAAAGGCATGCATAAATAAATATGGTAAATACATGTCTGAGAAGTCATGTTTATATGAAAAATGGGGATGGGGGTAGAAATCACATTAATGGGATGTTGAGCATATTTACTCAAAACTACTACATAATGGCTCTATGTCTATTGAAAGGCTATTATTTGCAAGTATCAAGGAAGGTAGATGAAAGCATAAATGCAAATGCAATTTTTTAATCAAAATATTTGGTTTCTTGATAATGAGATGATTTATAATAGTTTCTCTTTTATTTTCCTTTCTATATTTAGCAGTAAAAGAGTAAGTACTAAGTTGAATGGATCATGTTTAAAGAACAGAGGAGGATTTGGAAACAATTCTTGGTCCAGTGTCTGTGTCTATTATTCAATTGGCAATAAAAAGCTGTTGCCTTGCAAATTCAAATATATATCTAGTATCTCTCATTTCTCTGAATAAAAAAATTAAACCTAAGTTATCAACTAATGTTTCACATTGCCACAACTAACATAAATGTCTGCAGGAGGAGGGTTAGCAACAAAATGTGAGTCGCAACATAAATTCTGTCCTTTATGTACTAATGTGTGATGTTCCGATGCAAATATGGAAGAGAGAAGCTTACATTGCGATCTCACACATTTCATCATTTTGGCTTCATCAAGGTTAGGAACAGGCAACTATGACAAGAAATGCATGGTTTGGAGACATGTGATCCAAACTGCCCGTGTCAGATATTGGTAGCTCACAAATGTTTCTTCTCGGCAGTTGCCCCTATGTCAAATATGTATTTTACAGGGAGCCTTAATAACATGATTTTGTATCTGTAACCTTCCCAGTTTTCCTAAATATTCCACAACAAATAAACAAACATTGGAAGAGGAATAGATTGAACATAATGTTTGATAGGCTTTTTAAACCTCATGCTTAAAGTGCTTATCATCTCAGGATTCAGGATTCTCCCATGCCACTGTCTGGAGCCAGCATTACCAAAAATAGCATCTTTTGTTGACATACATTATTAGGAGCAAATTGGAACAACTTGCCTTTTTTTTCCCCTTCATGATGTCTTCCAAAATCACAAACCCTATGCCAATGCATTTCAGGCTTATTTTTAACATATTTATTTTTTAAAATTTTAAATAGTTCTATGATTCTAAGTTAGACCAATCCAAAAAGGGCAAAAATGAGAAAGGAAAAATGGTTTTTACCTTATATTGAGAGCTAACATTGGTGTCAGAAAGACTTCAGGTTTTTTTTCTTCAAATAATTTTATTAAAAATTATAAATGAAAATAAAAGTAAATACAAAGTACAAAAACTACAAACAGAAAAATATGAAAAAAAGGGGGGGTGCGGAAAAGAAAAAATAAAGAAAAGAGAAAAAGGAAAAAGGAAAAAGAAGAGCTTCTCCCTTCATCTCAGTAACTAAAGACAATTGTAATTGCTTATCACCATATCTAAATACAGCAACAACATAATAATAATAATAATCTCATCTTTTAAGTAAAAAAACAAAATCTAAATGCTTCATCAATAATTCTTTGTCAGCAAAAGTCCAGTAAGGACAACCAGATATAACTATTTTCCTCTTAGCCCTGATCCAGCAAATCAACCTTGTATCCCTTCCCTAAGTTTTTAAAAATATTCTTTAACCCCTTCAAAGAGAGTCCCAGAGGTAGTTTGCTAGTTGCCTATGTCTCAAGGCAAAAATATTTCAAAACTTTAACAAATTTCTTTTGTATATCCACTACGTAAAGTTTATCCTTTTGCTTGTCACTTATAATAAAGTCCTTTAAAACCAAATTATCCAAATCAGTTTCCTGGTTTGATATCTGTATATCTCCTTTAGGGAATAAGCATCCATCAGATCTAGTTGTGTTACATTTAAGTTACCCTTCAAAGTAATTTCATAAACATTCATTGCAACTTGTTCTATAACTTCATTACAATACACACTGTCCATTTTGTCAAGAATTGATCCATTCGATCAAGAAGCTTGGTACAGAGATATTTAAAAAATTGCAGTATAAATCTCTGCTCCATATTCTTTATCTGCTCCATATTTTTTATCCTCTAGTGTCCAAACTTCATGGTCTCCTTATCCTGAAATAGCCAAAACATTTGAAAGCAATTGCCATTTTCCCACGAGAAAATATCTTCTAATTAATTCAAAGCTATAATTATAAATCCCCTGGCCCCTTAATCTATTGTTAACTTTCCCAAATCCATATACTAAGCACCCTTTTGCTGCATAGTCCAGAAAATCATAGATTTTCGAAGCTTCCAAAATCAAATTTACACCATCATCTAAGGAGGAGGAAACACACCCGGTGAACAGAATAAAACCATGCTGGTCCAAAGAGTCTTAATCTCTCCAGTAAAGAAAAAATGTGTGTGTGTGTATGTGTATATACACACATATATATATTA